GAGGAAATCTCAAGCAAACACGTGAGAACAAAACAAACAAGAAAAAGAAAGTCTCCCTAACTTGAATTTGCCCATGCTAAAATCAAAATTAAGAAATCACCGTGCCATTCCCCGGCAACGGCGCCATTTGATAACCGCTTTCGCGGCGTTGTAGTAAAACGGAGTCTAACCTTTCGGTTTTTCCCCGAGTATCGTGTCTCTCGAGGAATGGCGGAGGAGCTTCTTGATTTCAAGTCCAGTCACAGGTTATCGCAAATTATTGGAAGCTTTCCAAATTAAAACTTTTGATTGATTTTCTAAACTACTTTTTGGAAAAGAAAGTAAATTAAATTGTGCAAATACTAATGATGGCTCAAAAATAGACTAAAGGAAAAAATATAATATTAAACTTAAATGGATTGGTGCAAATAAGGGCAATGAATTGAGTAATTAGAAATGGATATATTCTTGGACCTAGTAATTAGGGAAATTAAAACTAAAATTGGACTAATAATTTCTTTCCTCATAGACAAGAATAGAAACTATTCTTAATTTATCCTATTTCTAGGTGTCATTAATGTGTTCAAAAATGGTTGGCTTGAATTAAATTCTAACCTCATAGACAAGGTAGAAATAATTCTCCAATATTTTAATTAATAAAAATAGCCGAATTCATTAACTAGTTAAACTCATTATTTAAGCAATTGAATTTATCTCTCATAGACAAGATGTAAATCCCTTTCATTAAATTATCCTATTTCTAGGCCTTATTAATGTGCTTGAATATGGTTGGCTTAAATTATTTTCTAATCTCATAGACAAGTTAGAAATAATTTTCCAAGAATTTAATTAATGAATATGGCTAACAATTATTAATTACTATTTCATCATTTCAAACAACTAGTCCAAATTATTAATTTTAATCCCTAATTTTCGGTCAACAAGTCAATCCATATTCCTTTAGTCAATTCATGCCCAAAACAAATTAGCTAATAAACATCATTTTTTCATTTAACAATACAATGAATAAATTCAACATTAACAAGGAATTAAGCATGTATAATAGCAAAAATTAAACAAAAATAATATTCTTCCAAAATAAACTTGTAGAACTAAAATATCACCTTCTGGAATTTTTCCCGAATTTTATAACCTAAAATCCAATTTTAACAACTAATTGATAATTTTCCCAATATTAACTAGAAAATACAAAAAAGCAACTACAAATATTCTAAATTCGTTCTAAATTTTATATTGAATACTAGGAGTGATATTACTGTGAATTTAACTGGAATTAGGACAGAAACTAATTTTTTTCCTTTTTTGAGTATTTAATTTAATTTATGTAATAATAACAACTAAATGCCGGAATTAATTAAAATTTACTTCTACTTCATAAAAATTAACTTTGTTTTGATAAATAACTACCTTGAGGCTAGTAAACAACTATATAATTAATTGGAATGGATTTAATGTCAACAACTATTTTATTCAAATTTAAGACGAAAATGCGAAATAGTTGAATAATTTTCTGGAAATTTTAGAAGCACAGATAAAAAAAACTAAGTACAGATTCAGATTCTACTCATTGAAAGGATGAAAATACATATAAAGAACTCACAATTTGGAGCTAAAATGAGAAAGATATGAAAGATTGAAGTTGAAGGTGCAACAATGGTGGAAATCCGAGCTTTGAGGAGGAAGAAGACGCCCTTTTTGATCTGATTTGGGCTTGAAATTGGTGTATTGAGTTGGGGATGGAAGAGGGCTTTTATAGCCGGAGATTATTGGAAGGCGGCCAAGAAGGCGGCCGCCCTCCGGCCATGGCCGGCAGCCTTCGGTCATTTCTCCGACAAAGCTTCGTGCACGGGTCGATTCCGCCGCAGGCGTCCACGGTAGGCGGCCGCCCTCCTTGGCCGCCTCCCGTCTTGTCTCAGCTACCGGCAGCTCGTAAATCACATCCCACCGCAGGCGGCCACAGAGGGCGGCCGCCCTCCGGCCCCCGTCGGCAGCCTTCCATCATTTTGTCGCCATGCAAAGTGTTAAGTGCTGAAACTGTCAAAAACTCGTAGGCGCCCAGAAAGGCGGCCGCCTGCGCCACCGCCTTACGTCAAATGGAAAAGTTGTCTTCACCAAAGTTGTAGCTCTCTTTCTTGGCTAACTACTGGAATTTGAATCGCATTCATTGGATTTGTAGTTTATGAGATATGGTCAAAACGGTGACCACATGTCACTTTCCATCGCAACTGCAAATGTCTGACTTCTTTGAGCAATATGTCCATTCTACGGTGGTTATTTGGCTCTGTGTTCTTCATAAGAGTTGTAGATCAGGAAGATATCAATGTAATGAAACTCGTATCACGAACGTTGGACAATTATGCGCAAAGTTATGATCACAATACGAACATGTGTCTCTATGCATCGTCCATTTTCATCAAAAGTAGCCATATATGTGACTCCTTCGTGGTTTTGAACTTCCTTGCATGATTTCTTCATCACTTGGACTTTTTTTCATTGAACAATTGGTCAATATATCTTGCAAACTTCCGTATCAATTCATTTGTTGGCAAAAAGTGCCACTTTCTTCACGCAATTGACCCGAAATTTCACAAAACATGTTATGAATGCGATTTTTACCCGATTTCATGAAACTTGAACCAAAATATATAAAATGTGCCTTGTTTTTCTATTTTTCAATCCAGAATCGCTTAAATTTGATAAGAAAAATAAGTACATAAATGGACTTATCAACCTCCATCACTCACTTTCCATCAAAGAAAAAAATTCCTAAGTGATGTAAAGCATTACTATTGGGATGAACCATATCTCTTCAAACATTGTGCCGACGGAATTATTAGAAGATGCATACCCGATGAGGAAATCATGTCCGTCTTAAACCATTGTCACAACCTTCCTTGTGGCGGTCATCATGGACCGGACCGAACAGCGGCAAAAGTCCTCCAATGTGGTCTTTTCTGGCCAACATTATTCAAAGATGCAAGGAGTTATGTGAAAGCGTGTGACCGATGTCAAAGAACCGGAAATCTTAGCCGGAGGAATGAAATGCCTCAAAATATGATCCTTGTGGTAGAACTTTTTGATGTATGGGGATTGGACTTCATGGGACCTTTCCCTAACTCATATGGGAAGAGCTATATCCTTGTAGCCGTGGACTACGTCTCCAAGTGGGTGGAGGCAATAGCTCTACCCGACAACACTAGCAAAAGTGTGGGGGAATTCGTGAAGAAAAACATTTTCTCACGGTTTGGTGTGCCCCGTACCATCATAAGTGACAATGGCACACATTTCAAGAATGCCCATTTTTCTGGCTTGCTAAAGAAATATGGGTGCAATTTCCGAACCGGAGCAGCCTATCATCCACAGACTAATGGGCAAGTTGAAGTGTCCAACCGAGAGATTAAATCAATTCTAGAAAAAACAGTTGCCACTTCTAGAAAGGATTGGGCGTTAAAATTAGATGATGCGCTATGGGCATATCGGACGGCTTACAAAACACCGTTGGGCATGTCACCATACCGACTTGTCTATGGAAAATCATGTCATCTCCCCGTGGAACTTGAGCACAAAGCACAGTGGGCACTCTCCAAGTTAAACCTTGATCCTACACTCTCAAACAAAAGAAGGATGTTCCAAATGGCGGAACTTGAAGAAATCCGAAGGGATGCATATGAGAATTCCCGCATCTACAAGGAAAGAGCAAAAGCTTGGCATGATAAAAACATCAACCGGAGGGACTTCTACGTCGGCCAAAAGGTACTACTCTTCAACTCTAGACTTCGCCTTTTTCCCGGAAAGCTAAAATCCCGATGGTCGGGACCATTCACAATCACCGAGGTCCGACCATACGGGTCAATGATGATTCAAAAGGGTGACCAAACACCATTTCTTGTAAACGGTCACCGACTCAAGCCATACATGGAGTATCATATCACCTCGGCAACCACCGCTTGCCCATTGGAGGAGTAAAAAGGTACGTTGCGTCCAGCCTACGACGTTAAACTGAGCGCTAATTGGGAGGCAACCCAACATAAAATTTCAATTATAAAGAAATATGCTTAGTTTCACAAATATTCATTATTATTTATAATTTAACAAATTATAACTAACTACGTTCATTAAAAAAAACAGGCATATTTCATTTATAATTGAAAGAAAAAAAAAAAAAAAATCGAAAATCGTACAGTAACCGGCGCCGGTTATAAGGCACTACCGGCCCCGGTTTTAAATCACAAAAGTCAGAACACGTTCCCAGGGTACAACCGGCGCCGGTCCAACGACCCAACCGGCGCCGGTTATATGAAAACTGCGCCTCGATCAAGCCCCGAACGACAACCGGCGCCGGTCCAACGACCCAACCGGCGCCGGTTGTCCCGTTTTTAACCCAACACCAGCCCGATTTCTGTCATTCTCACGAGCCAAACCCCCCCCCCCCCTCAGTCGAAAGAGCTCCCAAAAAACCGATACTCACTCCCCCAAATCGCCATAGCTTCGAGTTCTAAGGTCAAAACAACTCAAATTCATCACTCTCAAGGCTCCACCACATCATATTCAAGCTTCTTCTCCACAAAATCAAGGTAAAAAGGCTAAACCCCCAATTTGTTTTCAATTTTCGAAATTCTTTCTTCTTTTTCAATTTTTGGCCGAATTACTTGTTTATAATTGTTAAAAGTTGATCACTTGTGCTTATATGATGAATGTAAACATGATTCTTGCCAAAAGTTTGAGATTAAAGTTGAGAATTGGGGGAAGTTCTTGCAAATTTTTCATTTTTAAACCCTAGGTCCGAATTTCTTGCTTAATTTCCAATTATTTCTACAATTGATGACTTGAATGATATTGAAATACTTTGTGTTGACATATAAACATTCCAAACATCATTGTTGCATTAATTTGTGATTAAACTTGCAATTTTGGGGAAATTAATGAAAATTTTAGAAAAATATACCTTGAATTGATGAAGTTTATGGTGTTGTGTGTCTATTTCTCTTCTAACCATGCAGGTATGGCCCCGAAAAGGAAGCAAAATGACGGGGCCTCTTCTTCTTCATACTCCCACCCCCGTTTCACCTCTCATGAAAATGAAGAGTGGTACGATACAAGAAAAAAATGGGGAATGGTGGTGGAGAAAACAGTTGACCCAATCATCGACGCCACTTTTGAACTAACGGAGGCATTCATGGAGCTAGGGTGGGCTGTGATGCTTACCCTAACAGGGGCGTACTACCCCCAACTGGTTCGTGAGTTCTATGCCAACATCACGGACAAACAAACTGGGTATGCCGTCATTCACTCATTTGTCAAAGGCAAGAACATAAAAATTGATCCAAGTTTTCTCTCCCGCCTCCTCAAGGTCCCCGATGACGGCACAACTTTGGAATTCACCGTTAAAGGAATCTCCAGTGACAAGACTTATGATGAAATTCGAACAATGGAAAGGTATGAACTCCCAAAGCTCTTCACTAAATATTTGGACATCCGTGAACGACTCATCATTTACCTCATTGGATTCAACCTTGTCCCCCGAGCAAGTGACCGTCATGTCATCCGAAAAATAGACCTCTACCTTCTCTCTAAAATGGTAGAGGGGTTGGGAGAAACTCCAAAAATATCTCTCCCCCACCTCATTATCAAAGATATGAAGAACGTGGTGCTCTCCAAAAGAGGTGACAAAAACTTTTGCTTTCCTCTTTTACTCACCTTGGTATTCAAACATTATAAGGTGGATTTAAGAGGAGAAGAAGTCATCTACACGGATGACTCCAACATTCTGGACAATACCACCATGAACGCCCTTCAACATAAGCTATCGGATGGAGAGTGGACATTCCCCGGACGATTTTTTGCTAACTTACATGATGAGGAGGAAGCGAGGAGAGCGGAAGAGGTACATGGAGAAGAAGCAATGGAGGATGCTCACGAGGATGGAGCCGCACCCGAGCCATCGGTGCCTCCACAACCGCCACACACTACCGACCCCGCGATGGCCTACTTGATGCACTCCATGGCCCGCATGCATAAGCGGCTAGACACGCAACAGGAGAGACAACAGAGGTTCGAGGAGCGGTTCGACAAATTCGCCGACTACTACTACTCCCAACATGGGTACCCCCCTCAAGACCCAGAAAATTAATTACGGCGTTGTTGATTTTATGACATTGCTTTTCTCAAACACATTTTATTGTGGATGTTGAAAGTATTTTGTTTATCATGCATGATACATTGAGACAATGTATTCTAAGTGTGGGGGGGTGCATTTCATGGTTAGTTAAACAACCTTTGTGTGCAAAAATATTTTTTTTTTAGGAAGGTAAAAATTATGTTATTTCTCTTTTTTAATGGGTATTTGGTTGAGAAAGTTTTTTTTTATTCACATAAAAATATCATTTTTTTTAGATTTATTACACTACTTTTACTCTTGAAACTCATTCCCAAAATAAAACCCGTGACTAGGAAATACCATCTTCTTCCCTTTTCAAAAATGGTTTAAGTACATCTCAAATATTCAAGGACCATTTTTGAAAACCAAGCCACCCCCATATCTCATCAAATGTATTTGGATCATCAAAATGACTTTCAGAAAATACTTGTTGAGAACCAATTCAAATGAGTTACAAAAAACAAAAACAAAAAAAAAAACAAACAAAAAAAAAAAAAACTCATGGTCTCTTCCAAGAACTCCAACTGATCCAATTCTATACTGAAAAAAATCAACACCCCAAAAAGCCACTTGACACTCCCAAATAACCCCAGTCACAATCCACTTACCAATTTTCAAGGGTATAAGTAATTTTTCTAAATCTAATGATATTTTTTGTGTGTAATAGAAAAAATGGGTTTTGGACCGAGAACGAAAAAAAAAAGAGTTTGCAACCATTTTTTTTACCTCTCTTAAAATATAATTATTTTTGTGCATATATTTTTGTTGAACTAACCAAGGCATCAAAAGGTGACAACATTGCTCGAGGACTAGCAATGCTCAAGTGTGGGGGAATTTGATAAGCACAATAGCTACCTATATTTTATATAGGTAATTATGATTATCTGTACAAATATTCAAAGACAAAGCAGGTATAAATCCCATTTTGAGTAAAAAAACCGCACAATACGTCAAAGATGAAAACACAAGAGTCAACAATCGAAAGGGGCCGAGAACCGACACTTCGGGGTCAACCATGGGCGTAAAACGGAGCGAAAAATGAAGAATTGCAGTGCAGGGGAAAACCGGCGCCGGTCCACCCTAAAACCGGCACCGGTTTCATTTAAAGAGGCCTTACTACGGTGAACCGAAGCAAGACCGGCGCCGGTCCACCCCTATAACCGGCGCCGGTTATACCATTTTCCACAATTATTCAGCATCGAAGCAAAACCGGCGCCGGTCCACCCCTATAACCGGCGCCGGTCCACCCCGATTCTGCACAAAACATGGAGACGTGCAGCAAGATCTTGATGGGAAAAACCCACTTTCCTTATGATCTGATCAAATATTTCTTATTTCTTCCATGCCTGATTGTTAGGCTCGAATGGACTAAAAGATGCCAATCTTTAGCCTATATAAAGCCCCCAATTCATCAAACAAGATCATCATTCCATTCTTGAAGATTAAATTTCAGTTTTTATATTTCCTTTTTGCATTTTCTTGAAGTGTTGGAGAAGAAGTCATTTCTCTCCTCTACAATTGGTTCTAGGTATTATTTCTTGTATGTTATTGTATTTCATTGTTCTTAGTTACACTTTTGTAATTAATATGAGCTCAAGGAACTAAGTTCTTAGCTAAGGCTAGGGATGAACTTCTATGCCCACTAGGTGTTTGATAAAAGTTCTAAACCAATAAATTGTGATTTATCCTTTACATTTTGATTGTTTATGACTATGGTGTACAACATAGAAGTATGTTAAACTTAGTTTATGCTTGCAATTAACGTTGAGGTCTAAACTATGAACATTAAAGGATAAACATATATATTACCGAGAATAGAAATATATCCGGTATTATATGATACGGGTGTGATGTCTTGATATTCAACGGGGTTTTCGGTAGATGAATGTAAGCCGTAACGGGACTTACACGTAACGAAAACCACGCTCTCGCTGCCTTAACCGGAGTTGAGAATATATTAGCGACATCGTATTCATAATTTTTGGTAAAGAACTAATATTCAACCCTATTAAAGCATTTAAGTGATTCCCGAAGCCTTAGTTGTTGTTATCAATCACTTTAATCAAATTAATTTTAGTTATATCTCTGAAAATTAAAAAGAAGAACCAAGTTGCTGTTTTTACAACAACACACAACTCAAAATCCCTGCACTTTACTCATTTATTTATTTAAAGTCATCTACTCTCGGACTAAATTAAACAACGTTTCCCTGTGGATTCGACCCGGTATTTTACCGGAATTTATTACTATATCGGCACTTGTACACTTGCAAGTTTAGCCCGGTCAATAGCAGGCCAATTATATTGTTCATTTGATGGAATCTTAATTTGTTTATAGGAAAACAAAACATACCCATATAGCTATAAAATCCAATTCAAAAGTTCAATGGATAAAACTGAAATACATTGATAGTGTAATATATAGAGTGGAAACTGACAGTAAAGAACTGAAAAATCATAGATAAGAGCATAGAATTGAAGAAGAAACCTACATTTTCCACTTTTAAAGTTCTGTTTTTTATTATTAAGGATCACTTGTGCATTTCATCGAACATCATGTGTACAGAATATACTTTAGGGTACATGAGCCCTGTCTCAGCCCACTGAGTTTCAGTATCATCAATTAAAAACAAAAGAAGTATGAATCTAAAAAAACTATATTATAGAGCTCAATTCCTAATGATGGTTAATAATGTAAAATTCTAAAATTTATGTACTACGTAGTATTGAATAAAGAAGAAAGTGGGTGAAAAATATCTGAAGCAATTCACCACCTATACGGATGTTCCATTAGATTTTAGAATAGAGAACATCAGAACAGAGAAGCAATTCATCATACATACAGATGCTCCGTTAGATTAGAAAACACGGATTACAGAAATAGAGAAATGAAGAATTAAAGTAGCACCTCTACTACCTGGTATAGTAGTAGCATAATATCCCCACCCCACCGATTCGGAAAAAGCATCAAATTCCCATTCTGCGTCTGAGAATTGGGATGCTCTGATCACACACATGCATGCTCAAGCTATACATACTCTGTCTTATCTTCATTCTCCCTCTGCTTACTCGCTCTCTCTTTCTTCTAAACTTGCTTAGTTTTCTTTTGCCTGTAATTGCCAACACCGTCTCATTTTCGGCTCTTCTAGATCAAGTCCGCTCCACAATTACATTCTTAATGTTAAATTTCTGACCCCATTAGATCCAGTTCCGGAAAATTGGATGGTATTGGAATCAAGCCGGAGGAATAGGGGAGCTGCAGATAGAAGCCAAAACCTGGAAACAAATGGCTGATAATTTGGTTCCTGAGAAGCCTCGCAGCTTCATCCATAACGGTACCCTCTCTCTCACTCAGTGTGCATTTGTGATTATTGGTTCCCTAACTGGCTGTCGTTTTTAGGGTTTTGTTATTGATTATCATATCAGAATGTCTTCAAATTAGGTGGATCAAGCTTTACTGTAGGGATCATTCATATCATATGACTATTTGCGTGTGTTATTATGGGGTTTGCAGCATGGTCATGCTAATCATGTGAAGACTAATTGTGCATTCCAAACATAGGTAATGTTTCTACAGATTAGGATAAAATTAACGTATTTTTCGTCTGTATGCATTGTTCTAACCTCAAAAGACCACATCGTTTGCTTTTATTGGTAGAAGATTTGGCTTATGCTAAGTGTCTTCTTTGAGAAAGTAGTGAACTAGTGATCATGTTATTAATATACAGAAGTATTTGTTTGATTAATATATACTGAAAATTGAAATTGCCCTAAATAGGATTAAAACCTTGTGTAAATGCATTAATTGGAGTTAGTATGTATTATTCCCAATATAGGAGTCATATACTCCCATTTTACTTTTCATATGAATATATGATTCTGAAATATAAAAAATAACCCCAGCTCCGCTGTTTCGCACACTACTCACTTCACCAACTATAACCGCTGTTACTCTCCTCTCACTCATTCAACGCTTTTCTTTCCCCATCTTTTATTTTTAGTTAGTTACTCTACTCTCTGTTGTTCGCTACTTTACTATCCTCCATTAGATGTCTCTTCATTTTATATACTTTGTATTAGATGTTTTCTTCTATTTTACTGTCCTCCATTAGATGTCTTTTCCTTTTATTTTGTATTGTACCAAGTACTCCGTATAATTCTCTTTTGGTCAGGGCCTACACGATAAACATTCACCATAAATTTGATGTTGTATTATTTGTTCTTTGTTTTCCCAGAGTTCATCTTCATACAAATTCATTGTTCCATACTTCCATAACCTGCACATTCACCTGCATATGATTATTAAGTTGACTATCACAACAATTCTTTTTCTTATTGCGACTAGTTGATACAAAATCGCAAATTAAACTATTTAAAGAGTTATATCTCTGTTTAATATACTTGATTATGCATATTTTCTATTTGTTTGTATGAAGGTATTTCATAGCTATTAATCTGTCATATAGGTTTAATTTAAAAGCTGTCACCTGCTAAGGATTGCATCTTACGCTTTTTGGCAGTTTTGAAGTTGTTAAATGCCATCCTTTTGTTATAAATGTCACATTCACGGTCACATTCAAAGTTTTTTACGAATGAAATTGATCTGAAAATCCCACACCCACAGGTATTTGCCTACTAGATTTTTCGCAAATTGCCAATGTTATCAGCACAAGAAACATAACAAATTGTCACTTTCGTTATTCAATTTATAACTACTTCATTTTGCATGATAACTTCTGCATGTGCAAACTGCCTCATAATTGTCAGTTTTCTATATGCCATGTAGGTAATATTTTTAAAACTGCCACCTGTTAAGGATTTCAACTTACCCTTTGTCATTTTTGAAGCTCTTAAATGCCATCTTTTTATGATAAATGTCACATCCACTACCACATTATTCTAAATTGTTTACCTTTTAAATTGGTCCCAGTATGTCACGTTCGCACCCGTTTGCCTGTTATATTGTTCCCAGTTTGTCAAAGTTGTCAATGGAAGAAACATGACAAACTGCCACTTCCATTATTCCAGTCATCACTTTTTGAAGAAAGATAACTTCTGTATGTAAAGACTGCTAAATAATTGTCATTTTGGAAACTGCTAAAGCTCTCAACACAACAAGCATAACCATGTGTCATTTTTTAGACAACAAGCATAACAGTTTTCATAGTCACGCCAGCACATTGCGGTGTTTAGCTATTGCCGATTTATTCGTCATTTTTCTATATAATTCTATTAATTCGGTGGAAATCGAATTTCACCTCTGTCCTTAAGTTTTGCCGCCATTGCCGGAAACTTCAAAAAATTAATGTCATAGATTGTCAACAATAATTCAAATTTTGCCAAGCAACAAAAAGTTGTAGATGCTAAACTGCTTTGTTTCTTCCACGCTTTCAAAAGAGTGCATTCTTTGCCATTGGAAACTTCTAGTTTTTGCTCTTCTCTCTCTACTTCGCAGACCTGGGTATAGAGTTCCATGATTTCCATCTTTTTTCAATTTAGAAGAAACCGGGAGGTTTCTGTTTCAAGTCAACTCTTTAAAAGGGCGTATTCGGAATTTTGTCAGCTTTTTACTCCTATTTTCGCACTTTCACCTAGTTACTCCTATTTAGGCCATTTTCACTAATATATATGGCATTTTCAAAACATCCATCAATACTAAAAAGTACCCGTATTATGAAGAAGTGTGTGTTTTTTGTATGGGAAAGATGATATTTTCTACTGATATAAAGGCATATCCTTTTCAGAGAATTTCATAATTTCATGTCATTTATTGGTAATTGTTTGCATATAAAGTGATAATTTTAGGGCAACCCTTTTTAAGACTGACAAACTGGAGGAACTAATTTATGCTTCATATAAATGTATTTTTTTATGCTTGCTGCTGTTAACTGAAATGACATCTTACAGGTGATGATGATACAAGGCATGTAACCCTTCAGGGTAGGGATAGTGAACAGACTTGGTCTTCTCCTATCGTGGATCAAGGTCAGTTGAACGCCACATACCTTGCATCTTCATCTACCCGCCGCTACTCCTGCCTTGTCGTCGGGAATTACTGCCATGATGTTCTGTTCAAAGATAACAGCGTCATCACAGAATCCATTGGGGGCGCCACCTCCTTTATCTCTTCTGTGCTTGATGGATTCAATGTCGCGTCATGTTATGTTTCCAAGGTGGGCCCTGATTTTGCTTACCCCGTTACCCACCGGCCTCTAGTTTCATCTTCTTCGCGAACAACTGTATTCCATGCCTATTTCTCATCTGAAATCAAGCGCCAGGATCGGATTCTCAAGCGGGTTAGGGCATGCGAACCGATCTCACCCTGTGATCTCCCTAACTCAAAATTCGATTTTGGGTTGGCCGTCGGTGTCGGCGGGGAGATTTTACCCGAAACCCTCGAGCGGATGATCGATATATGTAAGACAGTCCTTGTAGATATCCAAGCGCTAATTCGGATCTTTGACCCAGCAGACGGAACAGTGAACCACGTTGACCTGAATCAAACAGGGTTCTTTTATCTACTCCCTAGAATAGGATTTCTGAAGGCCTCATCAGATGAAGCACCGTTCTTGGATGTGGAGGAGGTGAGGAAACAGTGTTGTGTGGTGCTGACCAATGGCAATGAGGGCTGCATGGTGTTTACTAAAGATTCAGAGCTAAAGATTGCACCATTTCCTACAATTCAAGTTGATCCAACTGGAGCTGGGGATAGCTTTTTGGGTGGATTAGTAACCGGACTTACTCGTGGATTAACCGTGCCCGATTCTGCACTATTAGGGAACTTGTTCGGGTCGCTGACTGTCGGGCAAATGGGGCATTCTAAATTTGACCCTCGGCTGGTACAGGTTAGTATTGATACAGTTTGTCTTTGGATTCTGCTGGCTTTTCATGAACCTGAACCATGAAAAATTATTTAAATTTTTGTCCCCAAATTGTTAGGGTACTTTTACCTTTGTTATATGTCTCATTGTTTACCTTCTTTAAAGATCAATATAGAGATATCTGCCATGTAGTGATTGGAAGGTTCAAAATGATAAAAAAAAAATCACAGTCATGCTTAGAGAGTGAAGAAAGCAAAATTTGTTGACTAGAAGTAAAATGAGACCAGCCTGAGACCAAAATTGAAAATCAATTTTTGGAAAAAAAAAAATTGCTTCAGAACTAACTAACAAGTACTCTATGAATTGCCTGGGTGTGAAAAAGTATCTGATTTTTACATGTAGCACCCTCACTACTAACCCCGCATTAATCACAACAGTCTAAAAATGCAGGGTTTTTATACCTTAGAGAATGATAGGACTTTGGGCTTTTAAGATGCACTAGATATTGAGTACGTTTTCTGGCTAAATCTCTGTATGGCGCTTTTTATTAAAAAATTGAGGTTCATCCATTGTTTGTAATTGCGCAAAGCAATTGTGTCTCATGGCATGCCTCAGCAAATTCCTGGACTATGGTGTAAAAGGCATTGCATGTGACGTTGGGAGTGTGGCGTACGCAATATTGCATTGAGGCTTAGGCAATATTGCATACGCAATAAGGCGTTGAGAGGCGCACACAATAGGAGGTTAGGATGTAAGGGTATTATTTGGGCTCACTCGACCCAATTCTTAACTTTTATACTTGGCATATTCTGCATTTCTCATCCCTATTTTAAACTACTAGATAGCAATAAATTGATTTTCCCGCCATCAATCTAATAAACTTAAATTTTAATATGTTGGGAATTTTGTTATGATAACAATTTAGGAATGTTTGCTCTCTTGTGATACTTTGAACATTTTACTTTCCTAAGAATATGATCTCTCTATAATTTGTTTTAATATGACATTTGATAACTTTAAGTGAGTAAATATTTTTTATTTTTTAGTGTTTATGTGTATATATATATGTGTAGTATGCTTCAGGCATACACCTCATTGCGCAATATTTTATACTTCATATTATATTTGGCCGGTGTGAGATGATGAGATGAATTAAAAAGCTTGTAAAAAATGATGGCTCCTTGGAAAAGCCGGGAAGTGAAATTTATCCCTCTGTAAATATTTTTCGTAATCTTTGTGAAATCAAAGTGTGACTTTGATTGTGAAACGGAGGGAGTATTTATTTATTTATCATTATCTTATTTGTTTTATCTTTCTTTTTTCTTTCCTTTTTCTTTTTTTTCTCTTCTTCTTGTTTGTCTTCTCTTTTTGGCATCGATATCATGGATCGATTCATGTTAGCGATCTCAAAATCTTTTGGGATCAAGTCTTGGATGTTGTTGTTGTTGTTGTGAGCACTTGGTTTATTTTGGTAAACTAGTTAACTAGTTGAGATTATTGTTGTGTATTTTTCAAGGAGAGATTATTTTTGTAAAATGTATAAAAGTAGGGATTATTAGCGTCAATTTTGCCTCTTAAGACTTTGAAGCTTGACTTTGAAGTGAATATGATACACCGAGTCACCCGTAGTATATGTGAACTTGTAGTATTATATGACTTTGAAGGTTCAACACTTCCTACGATAAGGTTAAATTTATACTCTCTTAAATCACCGTGATTTATTTGTTCATTTACTTATTTCCTTGACAGAGAGTTAAAGAAGAGGTGGATAAGAGGAGAGAGGATCATTTTGATGGCCTGCAGTTTTTTAGAGCTCTTGATGCTGCGAGATCATCATCTCTTGCTGGAAGCTTTCTCCAGAAAAGTAAGAGGGAATTACCAAACAACACTAGTGGAGCAAAGTGCAATGATCAATCTTTGCTTCCTTCCATCTGTGAAAAAGAAGAACCTCATTCAATCAGTTGAAAAACAAAACCGCTATTTGGTTATAAAGATATACGTAGTATATATATACTTTCCCTCCACGTCCCCTGTCTGAAATTAGTTGGTTTATAAATAAAGCTTATGGAGATCAAAATATATTTTTTAAAAAATTATATTTCATGGTTTCCTAATTATTATAGTTTAATTATGATACGAAGTATAACATACTCATTGATGGCAAACGCATTTGTCAGGTTAACATTCATAGTTTCATTAGTTTGCTCAATAATTCTTTACACTGCATAAGAATAACTGAATACCATTGAAGTATCAGTAAGACAGTAATGGTCTCAATATGATCTAGATCGAGAAAGCTGCAAATAAGTCCCTAGAGTATATTAAAAATGTACTATATAATCATCTAATCAAATTCCTAAATTATAAAAAAAAAACACCTAATTCAGCATTTTAGCCTGTCACTTAGGGGTGGACTTGGGTCGGGCCAACCGGCCTGGCCCGGCCCAGGAACCGGTCTGGGTGCCGGTTCGGGCCAACCGACCCGGTCTTGTAGCGGTGCGGGCTCGGGCCTTGAAAATGTTGAACCGGCCTGGCCGGTTCGGGCCCGGTCCTGGCCATAACGATTGCATTTAAAAAAAATTCAGCCCTAGGAGGGGGGATCCGGGGGGTTTGGGGGGGTGGGGGATACAAAAAAATCTTATTTATACTCCTATTTTCTAAACATTTTTTACACCTCTTCTCCTACAAGTCTTCCTACTCTCTAATTCTTTATTCTCTCATATTCAATCATCTTCATCTTCTCCAATTCTCTCTACATATATATTATTTATATAATTATTATATCTACTTATATATTAATTATCTACTTATAAATACATATATTATATTACTAATATTTATTATCTACTTAATATATACTTGTTATCTACTTAATATTTACTTGATATTTAGTTATTATATATACTTATTGTTATTTACTTATATTTACATTTTACATGTAGTTAATATATACTTATATATATTAAAGTATTAAGTATAAGTGTATTACTCATCTTATAGTAATATACTTATATATTATATATTATATACTATAAACATTATATTATATATTACTTATAATATATTTACACATTATATATGATGGATGGCGTACCCGGGGGTTAGCTTATCCGAGGTGTTATTATGAGAATAACCTAGATTGAAGTCAGAACAAACATGTAAGAGAGAGAGAGTCGGTTGTATTAATGAACTTGTTCTGGGATGGGATCCTTTACAAGAGGAATAAAGGGTGCTATTTATAGCAGCAATAAATGCGATGAGAGTACACGTGTCAGTAATCCAACGGCCGAGGGGTCACCTCAATCGGGGTGGCACCGGCTCTCGCATGTGCGCCGCATTAAATGCGTTGAGTGGATGTGACCTCGCATTAAATGCGGTGGTTGGCCATCTCCAAAGGGAATCTTGGCCGGGGGCTCCTCTGTGGCCGCAAGCTCTGTGTAGTCGAAGGCTACCCTCGTGCTGAGGGCGTCTGGGAGCCGAAGGCTCCTGATTTCCGCCGTTTTCTTCCAGTAGCTTTGTATGCTCAAATCTGGCCTCCCTGTGAGTTTTGGAACCTTCGGCCATATTGCCGAAGGCACCCGTATGTGCATCGTGGGCTTCTTGACACTTGGGCCACGGTGCTTTGGGCTTCTTGTGCTTCCTGGGCCTGTTGGGCTGTGCTAGAGTAGTAGGAGTCTGTGGGCTGGGGGTTCCCGAACCATATACTCCATCAATATTATATATACTATATATACCTATACACATTCATATTTACTTGATATTTAGTTATTATCTATACTAATGTTATTTACTTATATTTACATATTACATTTAGTTAATGTATACTTATATATATAATGGATAGTCTACCCGGGGGGTATCTTATCCGAGGGGTAATTGCGGAAATAACTTAGAGAGAAGTCAGAGCAAAATAGGAGGAGAGAGAGTCGATTTTATTAAATGAACTCGAGATGTGAGATCTGAGATCGTTTACAAGGAGAAATGGCCTGCTATTTATAGCAGCAATAAATGCGATGAGAGTACACGTGTCAGTAATCCAACGGCCGAGGGGTCACATCAATCGGGGTGGCACCGGCAGTGGCATGTTCTCCGCATTGAATGCGGTGGGGTGGATGTGACGTTGCATTAAATGCGGTGGTTGGCTGTCTCCAAAGGGAATCTTCGATGATTGAGCCTGTTTGGCCGGAGGCTCCTTGCATAGTCGAGGGCTTCACGTGTTCGAGGACCCCTATGCAGCCGAAGGCTCTGTGTGGCCGAAGCCTTGGTTCAGCCGAAGGCTTCTCTGGTGCCGAGGGCTCTATAATGCCGAAGGCTCCTGTTTTCCGCCTTTTTCCTCCCAGTAGATTCGTATGCCCAAAAAGGCTATCCTGTGAGTTTTGGAACCTTCGGCCAAGGGGGCCGAAGGCACCCCAGTGTGTATTTTGGGCTCCTTCGAGAATTGGGCCACTGTCTTTGGGCCTGAGGTGCCCCTTGGGCTCAATGGGCCTTTGTGGGGGAAGTAGGAGTCTATGGGCCGGGGGCTCCTGGGCCATATACTCCATCAATATATATATTAAAGTATTAAGTATAAGTGTATTACTCATCTTATAGTAATATACTTATATATTATATACTATAAACATTATATTATATATTACTTATAATATATTTACACATTATATATACTATATATACTTATACACATTCATACGTTTTATGAAACTAGTTAATTGTTACATTTCTCATATTAATATTAGTTAATTTCTCTACATTTATCTTTAAACTAAAAAAAGTAGTTGATTGTTACATTTCTCATTTTCCTATTAGTTAATTCGTAAATTTCTCATTAAAGTAAAAAAACCAGTTAATTGTTACATTTCTCTACATTTCTCTTTAAAGTGAAAAAAACTAGTTAATTGTTACATTTCTCATTTTCCTATTAGTTATTTGGTAAATTTGTCATTAAAGTATTAATTAGAAGTAGTTTGATTTTTTTTTTCAAGGAAAAAAATTGTTACATTTGATATACTCATATTTTAGTTCGAATTTGCTATAATTTTATTAGTCACATTTTATTATTACTATTGTACTCATATAAAAATATTTTATATAATTTAATATTTGTTCAATTTTAAAGATGAATCGTGGTAGACATTCTGTAGATATGGGTAATCTCCAACGCAACCGAAAGAGGGAGATTGCAACCAGGGACGGAGCCAGGTTTTAATCATGGGGGGGGGGGGGCAAGAAGAAAGACAAACAATAATAATAAGAAAATATTCCTTGATAGCGGGAATTTTTTCATATATAAAACATACTTGATAAGAACACCTACGTTCTATTTGAGAAATAAAACATAATTTGTACTATTTTTAATTATTTATATGTAATATTTTCATAAGCAATGATTCTGTCAAAAACTACCTGACATGACCCACCGTCTGGCCGCCAATGTTTGAGGTGCTTCCACATGGATTATTTACACCAAATTTTAGTTTAAAATTCAATTCAGATGTCAAATAAATAAACTATTGGAACATTTTGTGCCAAAATATATTTAAAAACAACGCGATGTTTTTTCATATATTATCTTAGTGACTTTCAAAATGAATTTTAAGCTAAAATTTGGTAGACATAATCTATTGTTCGTAAAAAAATATGGTCATAAAAATTTATAAAAAATGTACCGGTAAGCATCTGAAATTGAGACTTCTATCAGATAATTTTGAATTGATCTTTTTTTTATCATTTCATATCTAATAGTAGTATTAAAAAATAAAAAAGTTAGGAGGGGCAATTGCCCCCCTATCCATACACATAAGTCCGTCCCTGATTGCGACGACTCATCCTAGTTCACGCAAAGGCAAAGGTAAAGCGCGAGCCGGGTCTTCTTTTCAAAGTCGAGATGATTTTGAAACGGATTACCAACGGAGAGATGATATGGCGATGTCCGACGACCAACTACATAACCTATTGTCCCAAAATGATCTACGCTTTGCACAAGAACAGCAATTCCCGACAACCATTGACGAAGATGAGCTCGAGGATGAGGATGCGGAGGAGGACGGGGGGGCACCCCAAATGATGAGCAAGAGTTGGAGGACGAGGGTGGTTCATCCCAAATTGGTAAGAAATCTAAATCTCCTATTGTTGAAAATAATTGTACAAAAAGGAAAGACAAAAAAAAACCGATAAGTGGTACGCAAGTTGCAATCATTGCAACAAAGAGTATAGCTTGGGAACTTCTGGCAGATACAGGTGTCTGACAAGGCATTTTAAGTCCGCGCACTTAGTGGGGAATGCAAAAATAGACAAAGGCAAGGGGAAGCAAACACAAATATCGAGGTTTGCAAATTCTCAACCCTTTGGTAATTTCTCCTATGATGATCAAAAACATTTGACTGGTATGTCTCATTTAATTGTTAAAGAAAATTTACCTTTTATTTTTTCCCAAAGTCTTGCTTTAAGAGATTATGCTCAAGGTACTTTAAATCCTCAATTTAGAAATTATAGTTGCAAAATGATTAAAAAAGAAGTTATAAGGCAATATAACTTGGAAAAGAAAAATTACAAACATTTTTCGCAAACTTTGATGGACACACCGCTGATAATATTTATCTTCTCATTGAGCGTATTTTAATTGAGTATAATTTGATTGATAAGGTGTTTGTTATAGGTTTTGATAATGCTAATAATAATACTGCTACTATACCTAGATTGCGTGAATTCTGTGGTGCTTCTACATTGATGGGTATGTTTTTTCACCAACGTTGTGCATGTCATATTCTAAATTTGTGTGTACAAGATGGGCTAGCGGCATTAGGAAATGCTTTGGAGGTAGTGAATGAGGGAATTAAAATGATTTGGGCTAATACTCCACTAAAAATGCAATGACAGCAATATTTGAAGGATAGACGTGTCAATTATTGTGTTTTTCCTAAAGATTTGTCTATATGTTAGAATAGTACTTATAACTTAATTAAAGTACTTATTAGATATAAAGATCATTTTCCCGCTTTTTAAGATAATCTTCTAACTATATTATAAACCCGACTGACATTGACACTTCAGAAAAAATTGTGAATGTTTTGGTATATTTTAATAATGCAACTCAATCTTTTAGTCATGTTTAATAACCTACCGCAAACGAATTTTTTGATGAAGTTGTTAATCTCGCCGGCGTTTTTGTGAATTTTCTG